CAAATTTCTACACATAAATGTAATTTTTAAAAGATGTAGGGGCCGGGGAAATGGCTCAGTAGAATAAGCACTTGCCTGGCAACCGCAAAGGTCTGAGTTCAATCCCCAGTTCTGCCAAAAAAAAAAAAAAAAAAAAAGATGTATCTTTACTTGGGCTGACAATATGATTGGAGATTTATTTCTATTATTAGAGACTTAGATCCTTTTACATGACCTCAAACCCAATCAATATGATTTATAATCTAGTCAATTGATAGATAGGTGCTTTCCAACTTTTCAGTGGCAATCAGTGTTCCTGTGCAGCGGTGGCTGTGAATGAGCTCCTCTAGGCGGCGCAGGGAGACAAGAACTGGAGTGATCACCAGCCCTGAGGCTCCTAAGAGAGGCAGCACTGACTGAGGAGCCTTGGCTGGAGCAAGCAGCCACCTCGCACTCCCCAGTTCCTCCCATTTACACTGAGCCCACAGGGAGTGAGCGCCCTCATATCTTCACTACTGCTGTGTGACAGGAAACACAGCTGTGACCATTTGTGAGATTAAGCAGTTTTTAAATGATTCAAGTATATATCTCTTTGCATCCTGCAGGGGGTTCTCCTTTGGCTTGACCTCCTTTTGGTGCTTGAGAAGGAACTCAGGGCTTGGTGAGAATGCAGGGCATGTGCTCCACCATGAAGCTACCCTCCAGCTTCTGGAGTTTGCCTTATTTGTATCAAATTCTCACTTGTTCCTATATTCCTGATACAAACCCAGTCTGGCAATCTGCTCTGCACTTAATTTAAGGAAACTTAACCCCAGAGTCTGCATTTGAAAGATGTGAATAGGTTGGATATAGTCCGCAAGACAGTTGGACACCAGGCTGGTGACCAAGAACTATACTCAGCACTGCAGTCAGAAACAACAAGAAATGTACAGTATGAGGGGGATTTGCCTGATCCTGCAGTGCTCCTGCACTGTCTGGGTGCTCAGAACTAAGGGCGCCAGCCAGCTGTGTTCCTGCTGATTATACAACCAGCAGCCCAGGGAGCTGGAGATAGTGGCCTCCTGAAGATAGGGCCTTATCTCTACCCAGAGGCATCCAAGATCCCCAAGCTTTCTCCTTGCCTTCCGGGAGGCTCAGGCTGGCTTTGCAATGTGACAGACACTGGGCCTGGCCCTTCTGCCCTGTGGGGGGTGGGGGTTAGAAGCATTCCAAGCAGTGAGTCTGTCTCTGGAGGGGAGGATGAGCAGGTTACCAGCAGCCTTAGGAATGCTCCTTGTCTTGATTCCCAGTTCCTGTCCTGGGCTGCATTCCAGATAGGGGCGGGTGAGCGCTAGGCCCCCCGGCATGGCTTGTAGGAACTGGGGTGCAGGACATCAACCCAGGAGAATGGGAAAGAGCCCGCATCTCTGACCAGGCTCAGGGCCTTGGGTCGGGCTGAGCACTTGGGTCTGGGACAGGATACGTCCTTTGCTAGCCAGCAGGTCCACTGCAGCCCTCCATGGCTCCTGCCCTCACAGGAATGAGTGGAGCCTGGGGATGAACTGTGCTAATAGGAACTGGGTAATTTCCAAGAATCACCATTAATAACTATATGCATCACATTCTGCAATAGATCACTAGAGTTCATTTCTTCCACTTGAAATTTCCTGCTTTTGACCACTTCTCCCCTCCCCCAGCTCTTAGTAACCTCTATTCTCTTCTCTAGTCCTATGAGTTCACATTGTTTTTGCTTCCACATGTAAGTGGGACTATGTGGAATTTGTCTTTTGGGGATTGGTTTCTTGCACCTAGCACGATGTCCTCTTGGATCATCCTTAACACTATAACAGCAGGCTTTTCTTCAACGTTTAAAGATTTCTTTTATTTGTGAGTGCATATTAGCTATACAGAATAGTTTTGGCATATTCCTACATGCACATAACACACTTTGATTATTTTGCCATCCATTGCTCTCTTCGCTTCCCTTTCTCTGTCTCTTTCTCGCCCCCTCCCTCTCCTTTATTCCATTCCTCTTCTTTATTGTGTCCCTTCTATTTCTCTGTCATGTTTCCCCTCTCCCACTCCTTCTCCCCTCACCCCTCTTCTCTCTGTGTGTCTCAGGCTTCACAAATGATAGAAAACAGGCAATATTTTACTTTTGGGATCTGCTCTATTTCATGGAACACACTGGTCTCTAGTTTAACTCACTTCTCTTTAAGTTTCAAGTTTTAATTCTCCTTTGTGCGTGAATAATACTCAATGGCAATATACAATTCGTTTCCTTGTCATTTCCCTATCTGATAAGTACCTTGGCTGTTCCCATGGCTTTGCTTTTGTGAATTGTACTGTAATTGCCATAGATATGAAGGTGTCTCCATACTATTCTGATTCTAATTCTTCCAGAAATACGCAGAGGGCTGAAGTAATTGGATGAAATTGTAGCTCTAGTTTTGCCCAGGATCTTCCATGTTGATTTTCATAGTGGCTGCACTAATTTATATCCCTACCAACAGTATAGAAGAATTCCTTTTACCTGCATCAGTGCCACCATGTATTGGTCTGTCTTGATGATACTCATTCTGCTGCGTGGGTGGGATCTCAGTGTGGTTCTGATTCACACTCCCTGGTGGCTAAGGATGTTATTACTTTGTGCATCTACTTACTGGCCATTTGCCCTTCTTTTGAGAAATGTCTGTCCAATTCACTTACCCTTTCATGCACCTGGTTATTTGATCTTTTTGTATTTTTTGAGGGTTTTATATATATTCTAGACGCTAGTCCTATGTCAGAAGAGTAGTGGGCAGTGATTTTCTCCCATTCCGTGAGCTATCTCTGCACACTGTTGATTGCTTCCTTTGTTGTGCAGATGCATTTTATTTCATGTAGCCCCATCTGAGGATTCTTCCTGGAATTTCCTGTGCTATTGATATCCTAATCAGGAAGTCTTTGCCTGTGCTAATGTTTTCTTTTTTCATTATTCTTTTTTAAAATTTTTTGTATTTTTAGGGAAGGGTCTACAGGGTGCTCGAAGTCTCACTACTAGATCAGACTCAGTGATTCTCCTGTTTACAGTCTCCCAAGTGCTGGGATTACAGGTGCGTACCACCACACCCAGTCTCAACTCTTGTCTCAGCATGCCCTGGGCACAGCAAGCCCGGGGTTTCATTCATTTTAATGAGAAAAAAAGATAAAATGGCAATGAAACAGTTTCAAAACAGGTTAGTAGGACAGTTACCATAATTAATACATTGCGTATTGTTGTCTTGGTAGTCTTCAGAGGACAAGATGCAGACATGATTTTTTTTTAATTTTTTTTAATTTTTATTTTTTTCAGAACCAGGGATTGAACTCAGATCCTTGCACTTGCCAGGCAAGCGCTTATTCGACTGAGCTATCTCCCCGGCCCCAGACATGTTATCTTGTCTAAATAATATTAGTGCAAACCTTTCTTCTCAGTGAACTAAGAGAAAGTAGCTGTATATCCATCCTCACTATCTTGTGTATATGCCTGTGCTAATGTTTTCAAATCCACCCCTATCCCCATGTTTTTTTCTAGTTGCTTGAAAGGCTAATATCTTTTGCCTAGGTCTTTGATCCATTTTGTACTGATTTTAGTGCAAGGTGAGGGATAGGGGTCCATTTTCTTTCTTTTTTTCAATTTCTTTTCTTAATTATTTTTTTAATTTTAATGCTTTTCAATTTGGTAGCATTTTTAAAAATTGTACATTGTAAATAAATTATTTACAAACTTAACTGAATATAATAATAAAAATTGCCCAAAATAAAAATGAAGAAGAATGTACAGATCAGTCATATAATAGTTCATTGTGTCAAAATCAAGAAACTTATATTCATGTAATTAGAATTCTCAAAGAATAAAGAGGCAATATTTAAAGATTTAAAATTTCTGAATGTAGTTGAACTTATAACACCACATTTCCAAGAAAAATGAACCTTTTGCACAAGAAATTTGAATAAAATCATACCCAGATACACAAAAATGAAATTGTCCAAAATTTATTATAAAGAAAAAATCATTAAAGCATATACATTAAAAAATTATCTATGGAAGAACAAAATTAAATAGCATCTTATTGCACATTAGAAAGAAAAAAAAGAGCAAGTGTGTAAGAAACTAGACTAATTAAAGGACTGAAAGAAAGGAAAAAAACAGATTTGTCCTCTTTGACAGGGTCCATTTTCAATTTTGTACAAGACTTTGAGCAGTTATCCCAGCACTGTTTGCTAAAGAGAGTCTTTATACCAACCCTTGCTTTTGGGCCTGTGGTCAGCAATCAGATAACTCTACTTACCTAGGCTGGTTTCTGCGTCCTGTATTTTGTTCCATTGGTCTTTATGCCTATTTTTGAGCCAGCAGTATACTGTGTTTGTCCCTATGGGCTTGTGGTATAAAGTCTGACCCTATGATGCTCAGGATAGCTTTGTCATTTCTGGATCTGCTGTGCTTCCACACAAGTTTGAGGATTGCATTTTCTTGCTATGTGAAGAATGTCATCGGTATCTTAATGGAGCTGCACTGGGTCTTTGAGTCACGTAGCCAGCTTACAACTATTTTTCTGTGGGTCCATGTACAAGGGAGGTATTTCCACCTTCTAATGTCTTAAATGCATTTCTTCTCATTCTGTAATTTTTATAGGAGAGGTCCTTCAGTTCCTTGGTGAGATTTATTCCTAGATGGGTTTTTTTGAAGCTAGTAAAAATGAAATTGTTTTCCTGATTTCTTTCTCAGTGAGTTCCTTATTGATGTTGAGCTTTTTCAAAGCTCTTGATTTTTGTATGTTGATTTATTTATTTATTCATTTATGTATTTGGTACAGGGTCTCACTACACAGCTCAGACTCATACTGATCCTCCTGTTTTCAGCCTCCCCAGCGCTGAGATTACAGGTTTGTGCCCACGCCCGGACTCTGTCAGCACACCCCAGGGGCAGTGTATGTTGCTTATTGTCCTGCTACTTTTCAGAATTTAGTGGAGCTAAAAATCTTGTGTTGGAGTTTATAGGGTCTTCTAAGTGAAGGATCAAAAAATATAAATGCTGCATGGATTTGCATATCATGCTTGCACAGTGGCTATGTTAATCTTCTCTATTGTTCCAATTCTAGTATACATGCTGCCAAAGTGAGCAATATTTCCTCCCTTTTTAGGATGACCAGTACTCCACCATTCATAGTTTCATAACCTGGTTCATATGAATAATACTGCAAACAACTTGGGCATGTCGATATCTATTTGATGTAATGATTTCATTTCCTTTGAATATATAGCATATAATAGAATTTCCAGTCCTTTGGAAAATATATAGAATTGGTACTGAGAATAGAACTCAGGACCTTATGCTTGCCAGGCAGGTACTGCTGAGCCAAATCCCCACCATATATATATCATATATACTTTTTGAGACAGGGTCTCTCTATGTAGTTCAGGCTGGCCTGAAGCTCACTTTGTAGCCCAGGATGGTCTTGATCTCGCAACAATCCTGCCTCAGCCTCCTAAATTCTGGGATTACAGGTGTGCACCACCATGCCTGCCTTCCAAAAATATTTTTAATGAATTGAGGAAGCTCCATATGTTTTCCATATACTAATTTATATTTCCAACATTTCAACCCAACTTCCTATGCGGTAGGTAAAAATATCCTACAGTCTAAACAGATTTAATTTTTTTGTCTTTCTGATGAGAGCCATTCTAACAAGGTGTGAAGTGAGATCTCACTGTGGTTCTAATTTAAACTTCTCTGATGATTGGTAGTGATTAGCATTTTTATATAGCATTGGCCACTGGCTTGTCTCAAGTTGAGAAATATTTATTCAAGTCCTTTGTGTATTATTTGAGTCATCTGATTTCTTACCATTTAGTGGATTTCTTCTATTTTGAGACTTTAGTCCTTTCTCAGATAATAGTTTTCAAGTTATTCTCCCACTCTGTACAGTGTTTTTGTTTGTTTTGTCAAAACAATTTGGGATTTTTTTTTTTTGGCAGAACTGAGGACTGAACTCAGGCCCTTGCGCTTGCCAGGTAAGCGCTCATTCTATTGCGCTATCTCCCTGGCCCCTCAGTGTTTCTTTATTTTATTGATTTCTTCCTTTTTTGTGTACCAGCTTTCCATTTGCTGTTAATCCCAGTGGGCTATTTTTTAATTTCTTATTTGTGCTTTGCAATTCATATGCAAGAAACCATTGTACAGAACAATGTCATGGATGTTTCCCTGTGTTTTCTTGTGATAGTTTTTACACTTACAAGTCTTATATTTCAGTATTTATTTATTTATTTATTTATTTATTTTTTGGTGGAACTGGGAATATTGAACTCAGACCCTTGCACTTGCCAGGGAAGCACTTATTCCACTGAGCCATCTCCCCAGCCCCTAATTTGTGTCTTTTTTTTTTTTGAGTGTTTATTCATTTCAACCTGACTTCCCATGTGGTAGGAAAAGTGAAGGACTTGTTTTATTCTTTTGCAAGTGGATATCCAGTTGTGTGGCCCCAAAAGACTATCCTGTCTCCATTGTGTATTCTTCCAACTTTGTCAAAAATCAATGGCTTGTAAGTGCTTGCGTGTATTTCTGGACTCTTAATTCCATTGTGTGGATCTAAGTGTCAGTGTTCAGATTAGAATCACCTCTATTGATTACTCTGGAATATTTTGAAGTTGGGTAGTGAGATGCCTCCAACATTATCATTTCAAGATTATTTTCACTATTAGAGATTTTGAGGTTCCGTGTGAATACTACGCTTGTTCTTCTATTTGTTTTAGAAATATCATTGGTAGTTTCATGAGGGTGACACTGAATTGTAGACCACACTGAGTAGAAGAAACATTTTAAAAACATTCCCTAAATACATAGACATTGAATATCTTTCCATTTCTTTGCCTTTTCTTCTACTTTTATCAATTTTTATAGATTTGCTGTCTGGGCTTCTCACTGCCCTGAGATTACTCCTACACATCTAACTTTTGGTAACTGTTTTAACAGGGTTGTTCTCATGCTTTGTTTTTTTCAGGTAGTCTTGTGAATGTATAGAAAGCTACTGATTTCTGGGGCTGGGGAGATGGCTCAGTAGAATAAGTGCTTCCCAGGCAAGCTCAAGGGCCTGAGTTCAATCCCCCATTCTGCCAAAAGAACAGAAAGCTACTGACTTCTGGATGACTTCACATTTTTCAACTCTTCTGAATACTTTCATCATTTCCAGTAGGCTTTTCTAGGTGACTTCCATGGAATTTTCTGCATATAAGGTCATATCATCTGCAATCAGGGATTGTTACAGTTCTTCCATTCCAGTGTCAGTGAGTTTTCTTCCTTTTTGCCTCATTTCTCTGGTAGGATTTCCAGTTCTGTGTTGAATAGCCGTAATGAGAATGGATAGCTCTGTACTGTCACTGATATTAGAGGAAATGCTGTTGTCTTTTCCTAATAGACTGTAATGTCAGATGTGGGTTGGTCACATGTGGCCTTCCTTCATTGAGGTACATTTCCTCTATACAAAATTTGGGGCTGGGGAGATGGCTCAGTGGAATAAGTGCTTCCCTGGCAAGCACAAGGGCCTGAGTTCAATCCCCAGTTCTGCAAAAAGAAAAAAAATGGGGCCAGGGAAATGGCTCAGTGGAATAAGTGTTTCCCTGGCAAGCACAAGGGCCTGAGTTCAATCCCTGGTTCCACAAAAAAAAAAAACAAATTTGGTGTGAGGTGTTTTGAATCATGAAGGATTGTTGGACTTTGTCTAATGTTTTCTCTGTATCCATCTAGATGATCATATTTTCTGTCATTTCTTCTGTTACTATATCAGATTTATAGGTAGAATCTTTGATAAATGTTAAACCTTCCCAGGGTTTCTGGTGTAAATCCCTCTTTATGTTGAAGAGTGATTCATTCAGTGTGCTCTTATGATCAGTTTTCTAGTGTTCTCTCAAAGATTATTTGCTAACCACTAGGAAGAGAGTATGCAATGTGTTAATTATTGAAACTGTCCTACCAATTTGATTTGAAACTGTCTCATTGTTATTTGTTTCTCAATAAAATTATGAGGAAAAAATTATTTGCTTTAGTGTTTATCTGGGATATTGGCTTATAATTACATTAATCAGCCTTCCTAGCCAAGCATCTTTACCTTTCCATTGGACATTTCCACTCACAAAGAAGTCCTGACCAAAAAAAAGAATTCTCTTATGTGTTCTTACTACTGCCCATCAGTGCCACCTTCTTTCTACTCCATGACATCCTGTGCTTTGGGCAGGGATATGGGGAAGCTTTAGTAAAATGAAGTAAATTGTGCTTCGGATGTGCTCAAAACCCACAAGAAAGCTGAGAACTGAGAGCTAAGACAAGTGAGTTCATCCAGCAGGTTGCTTGAAGAAATCACCAGCTACACAACACCCTAGGATGATTGTGTCTTCACGGAAAATAAAATCTGTGCCTTTAGCTTTTAAGGGTGTGTCTCAAGCTCTTGGCCTCCTCTCTTCCCTCAGCCCATCTCTTCTTTGAAGAGTTTCACTTCTTGAAGTCTGCAGGCGAACACTCCCATTTATGTGATGCCAGAAGCCATAGCAAGAAGTGATGGTGTGATGCTAGCTAACATCAGTGAGCATGACCACATCCAGGTTGGCCACAAGCATGGAAGTAGGCTCCTGCATGCTCACAGGAGCATGCCCCCTCTCAGAGGTTGTGGATCCGTCAAATGTGATCACTAGGTAATCACAGCAAGGTTTCTGAACCTTGGGCTGTAGGTCATTTGGAAGGGGTCTCTTGGGGACATAGAGGCTGTTCTATATATTGAGGATATTGAGCTACATTTGCAGCCTTTACCCACTAAAATCCAGCAGTGGCATTAGTTTTCCCCAACAACAAAATCTCAATGGCTGGGAAATAGCTCAGCAGCTTACGCACCTGCCTGGCAAGCACAAGATCCTGAGTTCTATACCCATTACAGAAAATAAATCAAAATATGCAGACACTGCTAAATGTCCTTTGAAGGGCAACATGGCTCCTTGTTGTGAATCATGGGGTTGGATGGAGTCTTTGACCCAAGACAATGGAATTTGGAGTGTATTGAGAGCATCTTGAGGAAAATTGTTAATCAGGAAAACTGCACAATATCACCCAAGTCATATCACCCGGAATCCACCAGAACCTCGTGACCCTGTGTTGTCTACTACCTCCAGCCCTATCCTACTGCTGCCAGGTTGCACCCAGACCTGCTGTCCCACCATGCTCTTGCCAGGCCTTACTCTTGTCCATGGAAAAATGAGGCCTTAGAGACAGGAGTTTCCTGAGTCAGCAGTGAACCAGAGTTAAGTGCTGCCACATTCAGGGAGTAAACCAAGGCTGCAGATGTATAGTCTTCACTCAATAATGACTCTCTAAAGAGTCAAACCTAAAGGTTTCTCCCAGATCCAGACCCCAGGCTTGGGGCTCTGAGATCCTTCCAAGGACACACGATGGCAGGGAGTGCACAACTGAACTTCCTCCTTTCACTCCAGCCCCTCTATCCCTAGTTACACATAGCTTCCTGCAGTGGAAACTGGAGCCAAATCACAGAACAGATGGTAAATCAGTTCTCCCACAGCCTAGACTGGGTAGGTCCTAGTCACCAGCCACAGCATCCCTCTTTCCTTAAACCTGAACTGGTCTTTTATTGGTCAGCAAATTGAGGCCCAGCTCTTCAACAGAACCTGCAAAATCTATCTTCTGGTCTGGTCTAGACCTGCCTTCCACACAGACCTTGCTCACCTATCCAACCCCAGCCACCCCCAGAGATGCCTATTACCACCACTAGTGCTTATGTGCTGTCTTTCTTTTTGCCTGTGTCAGCAGTGTATTCTTAGAGACCCAGCATGCACATCAGCTCGCCAAAGTCTGCCAGTACTGTGAAATCCAAATGATTCACTTCAGAACTTTCACCTCATAGGATTGTCCTTTCTCAGTAGTGAAGGTAACACATTATATTCCTCAGGGACAGTTACCTACCCTAGGAAATACAGCTTTGGCCATATAGCAGGTACTTACAGAATACCATTTAAGACTAATTTCAGTCAAGTTGTGTGAAGTTCCTATAATAACCAGATAACAAAATAAGGCTCATTGTGTCCTGCATAGTGGTGTAGTCTACACAGTATAGTCCCAGCTATTTCT